ACAGTGCAAATCCAATGTATGGTTGATTTTCTATGAATTTATAACAGAAATGTGGCGTATGTAGTGTGTGAGTGTGTGTGTGTGTGAAGTTTGTACAAGCAGAATGATTGGGGTGGGGGGTTTCCTGCTACAGGGGGGCTCTTGGGGGCTTTTCCCCGAGGAGGGAGAAGGGCAGCCCGTCAGCGACAGACTATTTTGGAACGTTCCAGAGTGTTCCAGAACGTTCCAGAGTGCCCAAGAACAGTTGTATCTCTTCCAGAACATTCTCTTCTCCCCCAGAAAAATCTCTGCTCTCCCAGAAGCTCTGGAACGTTCTAGAGTGCTCTAGAACATGGGCATCTTTTCTAGAGCAGTCCCTTTCCCAGAGGCATCTTTCCCAGAGCATTCGTTGTCCCATAATATTTCGGAATGCTGCAGAGTGTTTGTGTTCTGGAATGTTCTAGAGTGCTCTAGAACACGGGCATCTTTTCTAGAGCAGTCCCTCTCCCAGAGGCAGCTTTTCTAGAGCCCTCTTTTCCCCAGAGGCATCTTTTCTAGAGCATTCGCTTTCCCATAATACTTTGGAATGTTCGTGTTCTGGAATGTTGTAGAGTGCTATAGAACACGGGCATCTTTTCTAGAGCAGTCCCTTTCCCAGAGGCATCTTTTCTAGAGCATTCTCTTTTCCATAATATTTTGGAATGTCGCAGAGTGTTTGTGTTCTAGAACGTTCTAGAGTGCTCTAGAACATGGACATCTTTTCTAGAGCAGTCTGTTTCCAAGAGGCATCTTCTCTAGAGCATTCTCTTATATTTTGGAATGTTGCAGAGTGTTTGTGTTCTAGAACATTCCAGAGCGCTCTAGAACATGGGCATCTTTTCTAGGGCAGTCCCTCTCCCAGAGGCATCTTTTCTAGAGCATTCTCTTATACTTCGGAATGTTGCAGAGTGCTTGTGTTCTAGAACATTCCAGAGCGCTCTAGAACATGGGCATCTTTTCTAGAGCCCTCTTTTCCCCAGAGGCATCTTTTCTAGAGCATTCGCTTTCCCATAATACTTTGGAATGTTCGTGTTCTGGAACATTCTAGAGTGCTCTAGAACATGGGTATCTTTTCTAGAGTAGTCTGTTTCCCAGAGGCATTTTTTCTAGAGCATTCTCTTTCTCATAATACTTTGGAATGTTGCAGAGTGTTTGTGGTCTAGAACAGTGTTTCCCAACCGGTGTTCCGCGGCACACTAGTGTGCCGCGAGACGTTGACTGATGTGCCGTGGGAGGCGGGCGAGTCGGGCGGCGAGAGGCGGGGCGGCGGCGGCGAGCACACGTGGGGCGGCGAGCGAGCTCCCTCCCACATCCCATCACCGCTCGCTTCGGCCGGCCTACTGGAGGAAGGCGCGAAAACCTCGCGCATGCGCAGGCCTTCCGCCTGCGACAGCCCAGTAGGCCGGCCGAAGCGAGCGGCGATGGGATGTGGGAGGGAGCTCGCTCGCCGCCCCGCGTGTGCTCGCCGCCCGACTCGCCCGCCTCCCTCCCACAGCACACCAGCCTACCTCCCTGCTTTTTCCAATTAAGGCAACCTCCACTCTCCTGCCCCTCCGCGTTTCTCACCCCAAAGCCTTGTGGGCAGCAGGAAGTGGGGCCGTCCTGCCTCTACCCCACGCCGGGTGGCTGCTGACACGTCCCTTGGGCAGGAGAGGCATCCGGCTGGATGAAGGCAGCGACGCCGGGGGAACGAAACAGCATGGCAGGTCTGAGCTGGCGCCTGGAAGGACACAGATTGCTTCATGTCGCTGCATTCCACAGCTCCGAGGCTGGCAGGTGAATGCGTGCACTTCTCTCTCTCGTTTTATTTAATGTGCATTTTAGAAGCATGTGGAAATATCCTGCGTCATCAACCACTTTGGGGAAAGTGTGCGTGTGTGTGTTTGGGGCTAGATTTCATGCATGCCTTTTTTTTAAGTTCTCTTCCTGCTTCATCCACATTCACCCCCCAAAAGGCCATTTTCTGCGTGCTGAATAAATTCTGCAACTTACTATTTCATAATAAAGTAATTATAAAATACTTTCTTTGTGTTTATTTGATTCCTATTAAAGAGAGTTACTTTATATATAGTCAATATAGGCACAGAGTTAATTTTTTAAACATTTTCTAATGGTGGTGTGCCACGAGATTTTTTTCATGAAACAAGTGTGCCTTTGCCCAAAAAAGGTTGGGAAACACTGGTCTAGAACATTCTAGAGTGTTCTAGAACATGGGCATCTTTTCTAGAGCAGTCTGAGTATGCGGTTGAGCAGCGTCAGAAACTCAAGGTATATAAGCCCATTTTCATAGTTTTAGATGCCCGAAACTGATATTGTGTGCCCTGGCTCCGATTTACGTTGGAGCAGAGGCAGATGGGACTACAATCTTAGTTTGTTTTTAAAGGGAATAGCTGTAACCTCAGTGGCTTTGCCTGCAGAACACCACACGCTCAATCCCCGGCTTCTCCAGGCCTGAAACTCTGGCCAACTGCTGCCAGTCAGTGTTGACATTACTGAGCTAGATGGAGCAGTGGGTCAGGTTCCTAGGTTCCCATTTATGCTTCAGATCTGTGTGAGGCTTTCTGTCCCGTTTAGCGTGGCGAGGGCGGTTCTTTGCACATCTGGAAGACGACCGTGTCGCCTCCCATCACCCTCTTGAAGGTGCTTTTTCAGCTTAGGGGAAAGGGCAGGCACACCCTGAATGAAGGGAGGGGGAATTCCCCTTGAGGCCACCCCGAAAGAGCTGATCTTCAGCTTGAAACCAGGCCTTGCTCTTTCACCAGGCTGCTCCTCCAGCTGCCAATGCCACCCATGGACCCTGTGTGAATATCCAGCGTGGGTTGTGCCCAGGACCCTGGGAGGCTGTCTTTCCCGTCTGCGCATGTTTTCGTCTTTCAATAAACAGCCCATGCAATTTCCAGCTCTTCTGGCCCTCGAGATTAGCCTGGCCGCCTCAGAGGGAATCTGGGGAGGCTGAGGTGGCCTTTCCAGTGGTCCAAGGGGGGTTGTGTCTTCCTGCCCGCCATCTATTTCCTGCCCCCTTTCCCCCCTTTCCCTTTCCAAGCAAGCACGGAGGAGGGAAGGAAGCGGAGCCATGGATCCTCCGCTCAGATTGGAAGCAGGAAAGTGGGAGAGGAGCTGCTGACCCGAGGGTAAGGGGCTCCCCTCCCGCTTTGCAAAGGGAGCCTGGGAGGAGGGAATCCGCTGCATGGATCCCCTTCCCTCCCTCCCTCCTCCCGGCTCAGCTCTGGCTGGCTTCGCCCCACAAGACGCACAGACATTTCCCCTTCCTTGTTAGGGGAGGAAACGGGCGTCCTCTGGAGCCCAAAATATGGTACCGGGTTCAAGCAATGGTTCAGCGGAAGAAATTAAGTTTCCCACCCATTGCTTTGTCCCCTTTAGAAAAGGAAAAGGAGACAAACCTCACCAACATGGGGGAAGCCAGGAGGTGCCAATCAAATAAATACAAACACTTTACTGGATTTGTACTGTACTGTTTGGGGGGTCGGTGGGATATATCAGGACTGGGGTGGTTTAAAAATGTTCTTATGTGTTGTATGTTAATTTCTATTTCTATTTTTCCCCTTTTACCTTCATGACTTTTCCTCCACCTCCTCTTCTCCCTTCGTCACGCGAAGTTTCCTCCTCCTCCTCCTTTTCAGAGCAGGAATTCAGACCTAAGAAATATCAATAATGTCAATTATTTTCACAAGAAGGGAAAGAGGGGTCCCCGTCCAAGCAGACATCGAATATGTCCAGCCCAGATTGCAGTGGAAGAAAGAATCAAGTGGGAAAGGAGCCAGCAGACGACAAACGGGAAGAAATGTGTTTCTTCTTTCTGAAGCCCTTCCCCAAGAATCATATAATTTATTATTATTATTATTATTATTATTATTATTATTATTATTATTATGGTGCATCTAGCTGGAAGGGACCCCAAGGGTCATCCAGTCCCACCCGCTGCAAGGCAGGAATCTGCGAAGGAACCAATAGGGTTCATTTTGTAATAATAATAATAATAATAATAATAATAATAAGTGGAGGAATTGGGATCTGGAGGAATGAGCTGGTTACAAAACCAAGCAGTGCTTCATCTGAACAATACACTGTTCAGCTACAGTTTCCAATACAGTTTTAAAGGCAGCCTGACAGGGAAAGCAATGGAGATGTGAAGTTTTATTTTATATAAATAATAATTAGAATTATTATTATTACAGCCAGTTCCTCTGGAGTTGCTTCTCCCCCCAATTCGAATAAATAAAAATACAATACTGTTAAGGCTTAGGGTGTCCCACTTGGGTGGGTGTGAATAATAATAATAATAATAATAATAATAATAATAATTTAACATTTAATAATAATAATTTATTACTATTTTCCAGCCACCAACAGAGTATTGTTTTTAAAAAACGGGAAAACATAATATACTACAAACTTCCCTCACCCTTTTAGCTGAATAACCATTATAATTATAATGATAACAATTTAAAAATGAAGGACAATCCTCATTTATTCCCCTTCCCCAGCTGCTCCCCACAGAATATTAAAAACGGGACAAAACATACTGTATTGCAAACTTCACCACGCCTTTTCCAATAATAAAAATAAAAATAATTTTAAAAGTACTGCTAATAATCCTTTATTGTAATAAAAAGGCGCCAAAACTGCCTTGGCGTCCCGGGCCTGGGAAAGAGCTGAGGAGAAGCAGCTGAGAAACAGCTGGGAGGAGAAAAAGCGGGAAAGGGCTGGCCCCACCCACAGCCCGGCCTGGGATTGGCTCAAAGGCCGACCTATCGCCGTCGAAGGCCCTCAACCAACATGGCGGCGGTGGCGCGTCTTCTGCCCTTTCTTCCCCCCTCTTTCCAGTCCCTTTGCCCTGGTCCAAAATGGCCGCCCTAGGAACCCCCTCGCTCCACGCACGCGCCCGCAGCCGCAGCAGCAGTAAACTCGGCGGCGATAGGTCGGCCTTTGGGCCAATCCCAGGTCGGGCTGTGGGCGGGGCCATGCCTTGGGCGCGTTTTCTCTTCAGCGTCTCCTTCGCCATTTTCTCGAGGGAAGCGCGTGAGTTTGGTCGAGTTTTTAAGACTCTCTTTTGTTGGGAGCGGGCGGGAAATAATGATAAAGGATTATCATCATTGCTTTTAAAATTATTATTATTATTATAATTAGAAAAGGCTGAGGGAAGTTTGGGATATATTACGTTTTGTCGAATTGTTTAATATTCTGTTGTGGAAGGGGAAGAAATGAGGATTATCCTTCATTTTTAAATTGTTATCATTATTGTAATGCGTATTCTTATTAAAGGGTGAGGGAAATTTGTCGTTTTATCGTTTTTTAAAATTCTCTTGGTGCCTGGGAAAGAGTAATACATTCTTATTATCATTTAATTTTATTATTATTGTTGTTATTATAAAAGGGTGAGGGAAGTTTGTAGTGTATGATGTTTTGTCGGTTTTAAAAAAATATTCTGTTGGTGGCTGGGAAATAGCAATACATTATTAATATCATTAAATGTTAAATTATTATTATTCTAAATCACAGCCACCCAAGTGGGACACGGCCTCTTCCCCCCTAAGCCTTAGCAGTATACTATTTTTATATATTGGAATTGGGGGAGAAGCAACTCCAGAGTAACTGACTGTGATAATGGTAATAATTTATTTTTTATATAAAATAAAGTGCAGATCTCCATTGCTTTCCCCCTCAGGCCGCCTTTAATGTTTTGGAAGCTGCTTGAAGCGGTGCTTTTGTAACCAGCTAATTCCTCCAGATCCCAATTCCTCTACTTATTATTATTATTATTAAATGAACCCTTGTGGTTCCTTCGCAGATTCCTGCCTTGCGGCGGGTGGGACTGGATGACCCTTGGGGTCCCTTCCAGCTAGATGCACCATTATGTGATTCTTGGGGAAGTGCTTCAGAAAGAAGAAACAAGAATAAACAAGAAAAAATAAAGAAGAAAAACACATTTCTTCCAGTTAGTCCATATGATGGCTCCTAGGGAAAGGAGGCTCCTTTCCCACTTGTTTCTTTCTTCCATTTGAATCTGGGCTAGACATACATGTTTGCTTTGACGGGGAACCCCCATTCCCTTCTTGTGAAAATAATTGACATTATTGATATTTCTTAGGTCTGCTCTGCTGAATTCCTGTTCTGAAAAGGAGGAGGAGGAGGAAACTTCGCGTGATGAAGGGAGAAGAGAAGATGTCGGAAAAGTCATGAAGGTAAAAGGGAAACAATAGAAAGACATTAACATATAAGAACATTTTTTTAAAAACCCACTCCTGATATATTACACCCACCGAAGTGGGGCTTGGCCTCATCCCCCGTAACCACCACAGTACAGTACAGTAAAAATATACTTGAATAATTTTATTTATTTGATTGGGGTAGGCTAGAGCCTCCTGGCTTCTCCTATGCTGGTGAGGTATGTCTCCTTTTTCCTGTTCTTGTTAGGCTATCAAAAGGCGACAAAGCAATGGGTTGGAAACTTAATTTATTCAGATGAACCATTGCTATAACCAGGTAATTACTCAAGACACCGATTTTTCATCTATCGATTTATCCACATAATCCAACCAGAGATCCAAAAGTGGTACACTTGCACGTTAAATCTTAAGATAAATGTTTTGGAAGAGGCATAAATTAAAAAAGAGAATTAATTTGCAAGCAAGCCCAGTGAATTAGAGAGGCAGAGCTGGCTGGTTTGTCTAATGGAGCATCCAAAACCCAGTTTGGGTCTAGAAGACCCAGTTTGCCCTCTCGCCCCAGCCTTAATGGCAACCCTCCATTGCTTTCTGTTTGATTTTTGAGCAGATACTCTGAATTGAACAGCAGAAGAAGAAATGGGGACCAGCCCCTGCTGTAGTGGGCAGCACTAAAAGCCGTTTGAGTAATTCAGATCAATAAAGTAGGAATATTTAATATTCACAAACCAGCAACTTCACACCAGTTTGGGACACTTGCATCAGCTTGCAGTGTTAAGAGAGGTGCTCTAAAGAAAAGCACTTTCTACATTTATGAGTCTTCAGAGTAGGCTCATGGTTTTTCCTTTGCCTGGAGGTTAGCATATCTGCAATCAGCCCGAGAACTTCAGGCAGGACAAAAGGGGATGGCAAGGGGGGCTTCCTGGCGGAACCGAAGTTGCAGCTGCAGAAGGGTGGATTCCTGCCTTGTGGCAGGTTGGAGTGGATGACCCTTGGGGTCCCTTCCCGATATATACTCACCCACTCACCCACCATCATATGATTCTTTGGAAAGTGCTTCAGAATACAGTTTGGGGGTGGTTGTGTGTGTCAGCCCTTAAAAATCAACTGTGCAATGTGCTCCACAGCAGGGGCAAAGCAAAGATTTAAGCCTGTCCCCCGCTATGCATATAGGCTGGGAGCCCCAATGGCAGGACACTAAGTGGGCTGAGCCCCTGCAACGGGGCCAAAACCAAAAGCCAGTTGAATCATTTACATTGACAAACACTGGCACGGATGTATGCAACAGTTTGTAATGTTAAGAGAGGTGTTTTAAAGAAAAGCACTTTAAACACTCATGAGCATTCCCTTAGAGCAGGCTCATGGTTCTTTCCTTTTCTGGAGGCAGAAATGTTCTTAGCAGATGTACAATCCCCCCGAAGGCTTCAGGCCTCCTCCTGACTGTTGAAATGCTCCTGGGGAGACTGTAAGCAGCACCTCCTCCGCTCCCAGTCAGCAAAAGGGGATGGCAAGGGGTGCTTCATGGCGCAACTTGCAGCTGCAGTTTAAAGTGCCTTAAAAGTGCCATTTTATAGGGCAACACTGACAGTACAACCAAGGTTGGTGGTTTCAGAAACAAGAAACAGAAATAGCATTCCTTTAAGTTATGGACGCAGGTGGTGCTGTGGGTTAAACTACAGAGCCTAGGACTTGACGATCGGAAGGTCAGCGGTTCAAATCCCCGCAATGGGGTGAGCTCCCTTTGCTGGGTCCCTGCTCTTGCCAACCTAGCAGTTCGAAAGCACGTCAAAGTGTAAGTAGATAAATGCTCTGGCAGGAAGGTTAACGGCGTTTCCGTGCACTGCTTTGGTCCGCCAGAAGCGGCTTAGTCATGCTGGCCACATAACCCGGAAGTTGTACACCGGCTCCCTCGGCCAGGAAAGCGAGATGAGCGACGCAACCCCAGAGTCGGCCACAACAGGACCTAATGATCAGGGGTCCTTTTACCTTTATGATGGCAAAGTTGCCTCACTAGGCTGTGACACCTAACAGTTAAATGCTACCCCCTTTTGGTACTGTGAGCACCAAGGTTGCAGGGAGATCTCCATAAGGGACGCCTGCATATTTCTAAGAGCTGCAAAGTGCCACACAAAGAATAAGCAGTAAAACATACCTCCAGGTTAGTTGTATGATGGCCAACCAGTTTCCCTTCCCTGCCGGCTACTTTATTCTGTCTTGCATAGCAATACAAACGATGGGTGCCTGTTTTATACTCCTACGCTTTCAGTTCATCTGAAAGAAATCAGGTCCACTGATAGTTTTGTGGATTTATTATAACCCTTATGTTTTGGGCACAAGTCTACTTATGCATGGTAAACCAAAAGGTGGGGGAAAACGAGGGTGTCTGAAGTGAGTGGGCTTCCCTGCACACACTTCAGGGCAGAAGGGGGAGATAGAGGGAACGCTTTGTGTTCTCCCCCCAATAACAGTGGACAAGGTCTTCATCCCACCTTCAGTGCCTGCCCGGAAGAGGAGCAGCACCCATACAGAGAATGGTAGGAGACAAATTGTCTTGGGATCCTCTGGGTTTGAGAGGGTGAGCATTGGGATGGGACCCCTGTCTCCTAAACCAGTGCGCTTTCACCAGGATCAGTCTGGTTTCCTTCACCAACACCAATGTCAGAATAAACAGGCTTCCCAAAAAGTATAGTCTTTTTACCCTAATTTCCCTAATTCCCCTAACCCCTGGGTCATGAAGATAGTTTTGTATTGGGACTGTCCTGCAATGCACACCTGAGGCCGCAGGTGCGGAGAAATCTCTTCATGAGATGTTTTCCCTAATGAAAAGCTACTTCTAGCCAGGTGCAAAACAACCTGGAGAATTTGGGGTTGGAGTAAAGAAGGCCACAGAAAGTCTAGTTTTTAACTAGGGGTCAAAGGTCAGAAGGGACGCGGGTGGCGCTGTGGGTTAAACCACAGAGCCTAGGACTTGCCAATCAGAAGGTTGGCGATTCGAGTCCGCACGATGGGGTGAGCTCCCGTTGCTCGGTCCCAGCTCCTGCCCACCTAGCAGTTCGAAAGCACGTCAAAGTGCAAGTAGATTAATAGATACTGCTCCGGCAGGAAGGTCAACGGTGTTTCTGTGCACTGCTCTGGTTCACCAGAAGTGACTTAGTCCTGCTGGCCACATGACCCGGAAGCTGTACGCCGGCTCCCTTGGCCAGTAAAGCGAAATGCGCGCTGCAACCCCAGAGTCGTCTGTGACTGGACCTAATGGTCAGGGGTCCCTTTACCTAAGGAAAAGTGGGACATTCTGGGATCAAATCGGAAACTGGGATGGCTTCCTATCATCAGAGTTAGAGTCCAAAAACATCAGATGGACTGCAAGTTCCTCACCCCTGATGTGAACTCAGGGATGGGAAGAGAAGGGGTGAACTAGTTAGCTCTGCCTCCATTGCTGATGATCACCCTCCAGTTCCTGGCAAGGAGATACTGGGGCAACACCCTAACCCTTGGTTTACCTGCTTGTATGCTCAGAAATATAGATCTCGTTTGGATAGGCTTGGGGTTAGGCTTAGGGGTCAGGGCCTCCCCCTGACTGTTGAAATGCTCCCAGGAAGAATGTAGGCAGCACTTCCTCTGTTTCCAGACAAGAATAGTGATGGTAATGTTGGCTTCCTGGGTGAACTTGCAGCTCCGGAAGAGGAAAGGGGATCTTTTGAGACAAGTCCCAAACAGCTACTTTAATCAAACACCTGATTCGCCCAGCAGCGTGGCAGCGAAAGGAAAGAGAAGAAAAAGAGGCAAGGCAGCAGTGGAAAAAGATGGGTTGCCTGCATGGGCTCTGCTTTATTCCTTAATGCCGAATGCTACATCTGCCTAAGTCCACTTCCATCCACTGGAAACGCTTCTTAGCAGCAAGGAGCAAAGGGAATGGTGGGAAATACCTAGCTATCTCTCTAAATCGGTAGGACCGTTAGTCCTTTCCAGAGGTGTAGCCTGCCTTCTCCAAAGGTGGATTTCAGCTCAAACAGCTGGTTGAAAAGTCTCTTTTCCTCTCCTCACACCCATAACCCTGGCAACCTCCCAGAGAACAGTCTATTCCTCAATGGTCAGGGAGATTGCACTTTCCCACGGCCTCTCCAAAAATAGAAACCCTAGCATTTAGTTATCTCTTAATGCAGTTTTGGGGTGTGTGTTTGTGTGTGTCAGTCCTTAAAATTCAATTGTGCAAAGATTTAAGCCTGTCCCCCGCCATGCATATAGGCTGGGAGCCCCAATGGCAGGAGACTATGTGGGCTGAGCCCCTGCAAGAGGGGCCAAAACCCAAAGCCAGTTGAATCATTTACATTGACAAACACTGGCACGTATTTGTATGCATTTTGGAAATTTGCAGCAGTTTGTAACGTTTAGAGAGGTGTTTTAAAGAAAAGCACTTATACACTCATGAGCATTCCCTTAGAGCAGGCTCATGGTTCTTTCCTTTTCTGGAGGCAGAAATGTTCTTAGCAGATGTACAATCCCCCCGAAGGCTTCAGGCCTCCTCCTGACTGTTGAAATGCTCCTGGGGAGACTGTAAGCAGCACCTCCTCCGCTCCCAGTCAGCAAAAGGGGATGGCAAGGTGTGCTTCATGGCGCAACTTGCAGCTGCAGCTTAAATTGCCTTAAAAGTGCCCTTTCATAGGGCAAGACTGACAGCACAACCAATGTTGGTGGTTTTTCTCCTGCATATTCCTGCCTTGCCGAGGGCTGGGCTGCATGACCCTTGGGGTCCCTTCCAGATATAGATATATATGCAGGATTATATGATTCTTTGGAATGTGCTTTAGAAAGAGGAAACAAATAGCATTCCTTTAAGTTACGGGATGCAGGTGGCGCTGTGGGTTAAACCACAGAGCCTAGGACTTGGCGATCAGAAGGTTGGCGGTTTGAATCCCCGCGACGGAGCGAGCTCCCTTTGCAGGGTCCTTGCTCCTGCCAACCTAGCAGTTTGAAGTACAAGTAGATAAATGGGTACCGCTCTGGTGGGATGGTAAACGGCATTTCCGTGCGCTGTTCTGGTTCGCCAGAAGCGGCTTAGTCATGCTGTACGGCGGCTCTGTCGTGCAGTGAAGCGAGATGAGCGTGCAACCCCAGAGTCGTCTGTGACTGGGCCTAATGGTCAGGGGTCCCTTTACCTTAACGCTCCCAGGGAGGATGTAAGCAGCATTTCCTATGTTTCCAGTCAAGAATAGTGGATAGCCATGTTGGCTTCCTGGCTGAACTTGCAGTTGCAGGAGAGGTGGGGATCCCTGAAGTAGCCTTCAAAGTGCCATTTAAGAGAGGAACATTAGCTGCACAACCAAGATGTTAGGGTTTTTCCCCATAAGGGACTCCTGCATGTTCCTGCGATGCAGTGGGTTGGACTGGATGACCTTTGTGGTCCTTACCAGAGGTTTACATACCATCGTTATTCTTTGGAAAGGGCTTCAGAAAGATGAAAGAGAAATACTGTTCCTCAAAGTTAGTTGTATGATGGGAAAGTAGCCTCACTTCCTGTGAGCTCCCTTATTCCTTGCACGTTAATTGGAGCTTGCAGATCCTGTGCCTGTTTTTACATGGACCCCTATTCAGTCCCCCCCCCCATTTATTTCTCAGGTCTCTATGGGGCGTGCTGAATTCCTGCTCCGAAAAAGGGGGAGGAGAAGGAAGGGGGAAGTTTTGCCTGATGGAGGGAGAAGAGGTGCCCTCCTGCTGCTGCCTTGTGGGGCAAGAGGGGGAAAGGGGATCTTTTGAGACATATCCCAAACAGCTCCTTTAACCAAACACCTGATTCGCCCAGCAGCGTGGCAGCGAAAGGAAAGAGAAGAAAAAGAGGCAAGGCAGCAGTGGAAAAAGATGGGTTGCCTGCATGAGCTCTGCTTTATTCCTCAATGCCGAATGCTACATCCGCCTAAGTCCACTTCCATCCACCGGAAACGCTTCTTAGCACCAAGGAGCAAAGGGAACATTGCGAAATACCTAGCTATCTCTAAATGGGTAAGATCGCACAGTCCCTACACCTCCACAAGGCCTGGTCCTTTCCAGAGGTGCAGCCTGCCTTCTCCAAAGGTAGATTTCAGCTCAAACAGCTGGTTGAAGTGTCTCTTTTCCTATCCTCACACCCATAACCCTGGCAACCTCCCAGAGAACAGTCTATTCCTTGATGGTCAGGGAGATTGCACTTTCCCACGGCCTCTCCAAAAATAGAAACCCTAGCATTTAGTAATGTCTTAATGCAGTTTTGGGGTGTGTGTTTGTGTGTGTCAGTCCTTAAAATTCAACTGTGCAAAGATGTAAGCCTGTCCCCCGCCATGCACCTAGGCTGGGAGCCCCAATGGCAGGAGACTAAGTGGGCTGAGCCCCTGCAAGGGGGGCCAAAACCCAAAGCCAGTTGAATCATTTACATTGACAAACACTGGCACGTATTTGTATGCATTTTGGAAATTTGCAGCGGTTTATAACGTTAAGAGAGGTGTTTTAAACAAAAAACACTTTATACACTCATGAGCATTCCCTTAGAGCAGGCTCATGGTTCTTTCCTTTTCTGGAGGCAGAAATGTTCTTAGCAGATGTACAATCCCCCCGAAGGCTTCAGGCCTCCTCCTGACTGCTGAAATGCTCCTGGGGAGACTGTAAGCAGCACCTCTTCCGCTCTCAGGAAAAAGGGATGGCAAGGGGTGCTTCATGGCGCAACTTGCAGCTGCAGCTTAAATTGCCTTAAAAGTGCCATTTCATAGGGCAACACTGATGGCACAACCAGGGTTGCTGGTTCTTCTGCATATTCCTGCCTTGCAGTGGGCTGGGCTGGATGACCTTTGGGGTCCCTTCCAGATATAGATATATATGCAGTATCATGATACTTTGGAATGTGCTTGAGAAAGAAGAAACAAGTTTGTGGAGTAAATGATGCAGTACAAACGATGGGTGCCTCTTTTATCCCTACTCTTTCAGTTCATCTGAAAGAAATTGGGCCCACTGATAATTGTCTGTGTTTCGTTCCTTAATGTTAGATTTAGTGTTAGATTTGTTATCACCCTTATGTTTTGGGCACAAGCCTACTTATGCATGGTGGGGGAACAAAAGGGTGGGGGAAAACGAGGGTTTCTGAAATGAATGGGCTTCCCTGCACACACTTCTGAGTAGAAGGGGGAGATGGAGAGAATGCTCTGCCTTCTCCCCCCTAATCTGTCTTCCCTCCCTAATCATGACAGACAAGGCCTTCATCCCACCTTCAGCGCCTGCCTGGAAGAGGAGCAGGACCCATACAGAGAACGGTAGGAGCCAAATTGTCTTGGGATCCTCTGGGTTTGAGAGGGTGAGCGTTGGGATGGGACCCCTGTCTCCTGCGCTTGCACCAGGATCAGTCTGCCGTTTCCTTCACCAACACCAATGTCAGAATAAACAGGCTTCCCAAAAAGTATAGTCTTTTTACCCTAATTTCCCTAATTCCCCTAACCCCTGGGTCAGGAATACAGTTTTGTTTTGGGGTGCCCTGCAAGGCATACCTGAGGCCGCAGGTGCAGAAAAATCTCTTTATGAGATGTTTTCCCTAATGAAAATGCTACTTTTAGCCAGATGCACAACAAGCTGGAGAATTTGGAGTTGGAGTAAAGAAGGCCACAGAAAGTAGTTTTTAACTAGGGGTCAAAGATAAGAAAGAAGGGACGCGGGTGGCGCTGTGGGTTAAACCACAGAGCCTAGGACTTGCCGATTAGAAGGTCGGCAGTTCAAATGCACATGACTGGATAAGCTCCCTTTGCAGGGTCCCTGCTCCTGCCAACCTAGGATTTTGAAAGTGTTTCTGTGAGCTGCTCTGGTTCGCCAGAAGCCTCTTACATGACCCGGAAGCTGTACGCTGGCTCCTTCTGTTAACAAAGTGAGGTGCGCCATGCAACCCCAGAGTCTACACGACTGGACCTAATGGTCAGGGGTCCCTTTACCTTTGACAAAGGTCAGAAGTTGTAAGTCTGCTGCTGTAAGTCTAGCGTCATTGTTAGGGGTGGGTTTAGGGAGAGGCTTGGGGTTAGGCTTAGGGGTCAGGATCAGGGCCTCCCCCTGACTGTTGAAATGCTCCCAGGGAGGATGTAAGCAGCACTTCCTCTGTTTCCAGTCAAGAATAGTGCATGGCCATGTTTGCTTCATGGCTGAACTTGCAGCTGTAGGAGAGGTGGGGATCCCTGAACTATACCTAAGTAGCTTTCAAAGTGCCATTTAAGAGGGCAACATTTGCTGCACAACCATGGTTGCAGGATTGTTCCCCCTAAGGAACTGCATGTTCCTGCGTTGCAGCGGGTTGGACTGGATACCATTGGGGTCTCTTCCAGAGGTTTATTTACCAGCATTATTCTTTGGAAAGGGCTTCAGAGAGAAGAAACAGAAATAGAGTTAAATGTTCTTAGCAGATGTACAATCCCCCCGAAGGCTTCTGGTCTCCTCCTGACTGTTGAAATGCTCCTGGGGAGACTGTAAGCAGCACCTCCTCTGCTCCCAGTCAGGAAAAGGGGGTGGCAAGGGGTGCTTCATGGCGCAACTTGCAGCTGCAGTTTAAAGTGCCTTAGGTTAGGGGTTAGGGGGTTAGGGGGTGGGTTAGGGTTAGGGTTTAGGGTTTTTAGGGTTGGGGTTTGGGGTTAGGGGATTTGGGTTGGGGTTAGGGTTAGAGTTAGGGTTAGGTCAGGGTGAGGGTTAGGGTAGGGTGAGGGTTAGGGGTTAGGGTTGGGGTTTAGGGTTGGGGGTTGGGTTAGGGTTAGGGTTGTAGGGTTAGGGTTTAGGGTTTTAGGTTAGGGGGTTAGGGGTTAGGGTTTAGGGTTAGGGGTTAGGGTTAGGGGGTGGGTTAGGGTTAGGTTAGGTGGGAGGGGTTTTGAGGTGGTGGGTAGGGTTAGGGTTTTGGGTTAAGGGTTAGGGTTTAGGGTTGGGCTAGGGTTAGGGGGGTTAGGGTTAGGGGTTAGGGGTTGGGTTTAGGGTTAGGGTTGGGTTTAGGGTTTAGGGTTAGAGGGGTTAGGGTTAGAGGGTTAGGGTTAGGGGTTAGGTTTAGGGTTGGGGTTAGGGTTAGGGGTTAGGGTTAGGGTTAGGGTTGGGGTAGGGGTTAGTAGGGTTAGGGTTGGGGTTAGGTTTAGGGTTGGGGTTAGGTTGGGTTAGGGTTAAGGGTTAGGGTTGGGGTTAGGGTTAGGGGTTAGGGGGAGGGTTAGGGGTTGGGTTGGGGTTAGGTTGGGTTGGGTGGTTGGGGTTAGGGTTAGGGGTTAGGTTGGGTTAGGGTTAGGCTAGGGTGGGTTAGGGGTTAGGGTTAGGGGTTGGGGTTAGGGTTAGGTTTGGGGTTAGGGTTAGGGGTTGGGGTTGGGGTTGGGGTTAGGGTTAGGGGTTAGGGTTGGTTTAGGGTTTAGGGCTAGGGCAGGTGGTTTGTGGGGTAGGGGTTAGGGTTGGGTGGGGTTAGTGGTAGTGGTTATGGTTTAGGGTTAGGGTTAGAGGGTTTAGGGTTGGGAGTTGTAGGGGTTAGGGGGTTAGGGTGGTTGGGTGTGTGGTTTTAGGGTTGGGGGTTTGGGTTTGGGGTTAGGGCTAGGGTTAGAGGGTTTTTAGGGGGTTTAGGGTTGGTTAGGTTTAGGTAGGGTTTGGGAGGGTGTTAGGGGTTGGGGTTAGGGCCAGGGGTTGGAGTTAGGGTTTAGGGGGTAGGGGTTAGGAGTTAAGGGTAGGTTGGGGTTAGGCTTAGGTTTTAGGGTTTAGGTTAAGGGTAGGTAGGGTAGGGTTTTTAGGGTGTTTAGGGTAGGGTTGTTGGGTGTTGGTGTTTAGGGTTTAGGGTGGGTTAGGGTTTGGCGTTAGGGGGTTTAGGAGCCTCCACCATAGTTTTTCAGGCACTCTGTCCACCAAAATCTAAATCCTGAAACCTGTTCCTCATTTCCACTGTGTATTCATAAGGGATTTGACT